TGATGATGATGATGATGGTGATGATGATGATGATGATGATGATGATGATGATGGTGATGGTGATGATGATGATGATGATGATGATGATGATGATGATGATGATGATGATGATGGTGATGATGATGATGATGATGATGATGATGATGATGATGGTGATGATGATGATGATGATGATGATGATGATGATGATGATGATAATGATGATGATGATGATGGTGATGTTCTCAGCAGGTAGAGCTGATTCATTCGGGCTCTGCACCTGAGCTTCTGTCTCGTTTCGAGTCCAAATATCTGTAAATTCTGAAATCAGTCTGCATTTTTCAAGAGTCTTGTTTACAGAAATTCATTCATTCATTTATTTTCTTGTCGGCTTAGTCCCTTTATTAATTCGGGGTCACCACAGTGGAATGAACCGCCAACTTATCCAGCACGTTTTTACACAGCGGATGCCCTTCCAGCCGCAGCCCGTCTCTAGAAATGCTGGCTGATGTGAGAGTTTTCAGACGTGTTATTGGAGATGATTACTATTATAACTGGAGACGTTTTGAGACAGAAGCTCTGGACGTGTTGCAGTGTGTGTGATATCATGGCGTGTGGTGAGGATTATTGAGGATGAAGATTAGAGTCGTTCTTTAACCTCTATATTTTGAGATGCTCTTTGAATAATGAACACTAATCATAAGTGCACATGTTTATTTAGTTTATTAATCACGAGGCCTGACACTCTGATACTCTTGTAAACCACATATAACCTTCATTAAAGAGACAGTTCACCCAATAATCTTAATTCCCTCAGTCTTATTTCAAATCTGCTGAACACAAAGGAAGATAACCTGAAGAATGCTGGAACAACAGACCTTGACTACCAGCATGTTTCAGGAGTTCACACTCAGCTGATGATTGACTATAAAGCGTGTTCGGCATGCAGTCCTGGGAGCTCATAAGATCCTCGAGCCCGGGGCTCCCTCCCGTTTGCAGGGCGAGAGGGGAGTTTGAGCTCAGGTAAATGTGGAGAACTCCCCTGCTGTAGTAGCTGATGAGCAGATAGTGATGGCTCTTCAGAGATAACCACTGACTAGCAGCATGTCTGTGTGCTGATGTGGATTACTCAATTAGCTTAAGCTGCATGTTTTTGGATGGTGGAAGGAAACCAGAGGAAATCCACATGAGCCCTTGAGGAACATGTAAACTCCACACAGAAACATCAACTGGCTTGGTAAGGACTAGAACCAGTGACGTTCTTGCTGTGAGGCAACAGTGCTAACCACTGGGCCACCGTGTCACCCATCTAGGAAAGGAGGAGGAGCAGGGGTGGAAAGGGGGATTCTTCTAAACAGATGGCCGTCATATGGAGCTGAGGGTGTTCATAGTGACTGAGGAATCATCGAAAATGCAAACTTGGTCACTTGAAGCATGTCTTAGCCAATCAAGTAGCAGCTTCTAGTCTTCTTCCCTACATACTGCCATAGAGATAGCTTTAGCATTAGCTGTTATGCTTTTCAGGCTAATGATTTCAGGCTTGCCCTCAATAGGCTTTAGTGAATCTTCTGCAAAGGTTGCAAAACATAAGCATTTCAAATGTAAATCAGCTGTTTACAAAGAGTGGCCGACTGTAATATTGGTTACCTAGCAACCAACAGGTAACAAGGCAAGCATCATTAGAGAGGCCGACTGTAATATTGGTTACCTAGCAACCAACAGGTAACAAGGCAAGCATCATTAGAGAGGCAGACTGTGGTATTGGTAACCTAGCAACCGACAGTAAACATTGATAGAGTGGCCGACTGTAGTATTGGTAACCTAGCAACCGACAGTAAACATTGTTAGAGTGGCCGACTGTAGTATTGGTTACCTAGCAACCAACAGGTAACAAGGCAAGCATCATTAGAGAGGCAGACTGTGGTATATTGGTTACCTAGCAACCAACAGGTAACAAGGCAAGCATCGCTAGAGAGGCCGACTGTGGTATTAGTAACCTAGCAACCATTAGTACACAAGGCGAGCATCCCTAGAGTGGCTGACTGTGGTATTGGTAACCTAGCAACCGACAGTACACATTGTTAGAGAGGCTGACTGTGGTATTGGTAACCTAGCAACCGACAGTAAACAAGACGAGCATTATGGAGTCATGTCGGTGTAAAATGCACTTCAGCAAATGTGTTTCATCTCTTATTATTCGTCTCTTAGTGTTTTGTTTTGTAAAGTAAGAGATATGATGTTTGGTGATTCCGTTGCTTGTTCTCGTTCCAGCATTCTTCAGAATATCTTGTTTTGTGTTGTGAGTGTGATTTAACGCTGAGGACATGTTGATTTTTGCGTGAACTGCCCCTTTAATGACGTCACTCGTCTCTAGGTGTCTTCAGTATATGAAGATTTGTTTCTGCCATGGAATAAAAACTGATTTTCTCACCATGCAGAGCTTTTATTTGTTAGTGTTTTGGTTTTCTAAGAAGGCAGAATTGTGTGATATGTTTATTCCCATGGCAGAAATAAGCTTCAGTCTCCCTGTGCTGCCTCTTAGCTCTGAAATCAAGCAGCAGGCGTGTAAACTAAGCAGCGCCATCTGCAGGACAAACACAACACCAACTGCACTGAAGCCGTTCACCTGGAAAACAGTCCCTTCTCTGGTGTTTGTGTGCACTGCAATGCTTTATTACTTATTTATTTCTAGTCCACATATCTGGAAACTGAATATATTCTCGTAATGAGCCAGAATGAAGAGAGTGTCACTGCATGAAGCTGAATAATCTGCCTGTGGGGAAGCAGAGTCAGGTCATTTCACTGGGAACAGGATGATTCTTCTTATAGTAGTGAAAAACTCTTCATTCTGACTCATTACTGCTGAAAACCACACAATAGCTTATTCTTATTCTCCAGAAAATGCTTTTGGTTTAAGAGTTTTCAGATTTGTGGACTGAGACTGAGACTCGAGCAGCATGTGTTGTGTTGATCTTCAATACTGAGTGTTCAGGAAAGCTCTTCACGGTTATCTTGAGCTAGTCACAGTAGTTTGGTTTATTGACTGATGTTTATTCAGCAAACAGAGACTGACGTCGTCAGGATAGAGAGCAAACCTCTCTCAACCTGTTCACATTCATGATGAAACCAGTTTGAGTGAAGCACAGTTCAGAAAATAAGCTGAATTTCCAGATTATTAGCCGCGGGATCTCCAGTGGTTTTGGTTGTGACTGATGATGAATGTGGAGATGTTTGTTCTGGAAGCTGCTTGATCTCTTATTCTGCTTCATCTGCATGATTCAGGACTGCACGGTTATTCATCTGATTCCAGATCAGTGTTTCTGCCTGTGTTTGACAGATGTCAGGATGGAACGGTGTGCTGGGTTTGGGCAGGTTTCAGTATGTGTATGAGGAATAAAGCAGGACACACTGCAGATATGCTGCTCTAATCTGAGTTTGTGTCTGGTCTCTGGTCCATATATCTGTAAACTCTTTAATCAGTCAGCATTTTCTAGACAAGAATAAGATATAGTGGTGTTTTCAAGAACAATGAGTCAAAATGAAGAGTTTTTCACTAAAACAAGCAGAATAATCTGATGTCGGAAGGAGAAACGGGATTATTCTGCTTGTTTTAATGAAAACTCTTCATTTTTTTATTTCTGAAAATATGACACTGTGTTTGTGTTTGTCTAGAAATGCTTCTGGATTTAAGAGTTTTCAGATATTGCAGTATAAACCAGCCAGACAGCATGTGTGTGTGTGTGACTGAAAGTGTTTTACTTTAATATAACCCTGCTGAAAAATCCAGCTTAAACCAGCCTAGGATTGTTGGCTGGTTTTAGAGGGGTTTTGGCCATTTCCAGCTATTTCCAGCCTGGTTTTAGCTAGACAGGCTGGGAGCCAAAACCAGCTATGTCCAGCCTAAACCAGAATGGTCAAGCTGGTTTTAGATGGTCACTATCCAGCACTAACCAGGCTGAAAATGGCCAGAAACCAGCCTGGTAATGGCCAAAACCCCTCTAAAACCACTCAACCATCCTAGACTGGTTTGAGCTGGATTATTCAGCAGGATCTGTCGTTTCTGCTCTCTTTACTCTCTTGTCACCGTCTCTGTTAACATTGTTTATCTTGTGTTTCACACTCATGGAAATAAAATGACGCTTTGTCCAGCGAGTGTTTGTGTTTTTGAGTGTGTGTGTGTGTGTGTGTGTGTGTGTGTGGCAGTGATGACTCGCCACTGAAAGCGACACGTCTCTCTCTGCGTGATGTCAGCGGTGCCCCGGATGCGGAGCATGCGCGCTGTGAGTGTTTCTGGTTTCCTCCAGCAGGAGGCGCTGAGCGGATCAACAATGTCGAGTCATCAATAACATTATAAAGTTCGATAATCGTGACATTTACATGTTAAGCCGTAGTCAATCACGCGTGTTTAAAAATAAAACAATCAATTAAGAGCAACACATTTGTTAAATGAGTTAAACTATTCACGCGCAGATGAAGTGATATGACGTGATGATCTGCTGCCTCACACTCTGAGCTGTGATATTATTTACGCAAATGTAATGGTCAAATATTCTTATTATAAGCTAAAAACATCAATAATGAATTAAATATCAGGAATTATTTTAATGTGGAAGCCCCACCCATCCGATTTCCACGGCGACACGTGTCCCTGTGCGCTTGACGTCGGCGGCGGCCCGGATGAGGCGCATGCGCAGAGCGGCGCTCGGTCAGTGTGTGTCTCGGTGTTCAGACGTGTTCATCTGTCGGTGATTCTGCGCGTGATTTCCGCCGTTTCTGCTCTCCGGTTAAGATGAAACTGCTGCAGAAACTGCTGCTGCTGCTCCTGCTGGCGTTTCCCGCCACGCTGATGCTGAAGGGTGAGTTTATTCAGTGTGTACGAGCAGGCCGCAGCACTCCCGATCAATCACGGCGATCGATCAGGCCGAGGACCATCGACAACTCTAGTGTGTGTGTGTGTGTGTGTGTGTGTGTGTGTGTGTGTGTGTGTGTGTGTGTTTGAGAGAGTGTGTGACAGAGAGAAGTGTGTGTGTGTTTGAGTGTGTGTGTGTGTGTTTGAGTGTGTGTGACGTGTCCTTCAGACCCACCGAGACTCCGTCAGATCTCCTCAAACATTAAATACACTGCTCGTATATTGAGTGTAAGGGTTCAAGTGTATTTTAGTCGTGTATTTTTTCGGTAATACGTGTTTAATATCTCCCTCACAGCACTGTGTGTGTGTGTGTGTGTGTGTTTGTTATATCGATGTATGCATGTCAGTAAATGTGTGTATGTCTGTGCATATGTAGAGGCGTCATTTGGGGGAGAATATACTGTAACATCAGTAAAATGAGCTGCAGCAGGGAGTGTGTGTGTGTGTGTGTGTTTAATGTCACACTGACCTGTGTGTGTGTGTGTGTGTGTTCCCTCAGGTCCTGTAGTGTCTGCTCAGGACGCCACTGAGGAAGAGGAGGCTGTGGATGAAGATGCTGGTGATGATGTGCTGGCGGAGGATGAGGATGATGAAGCCGAGGTGGAGGACGATGAGAACACTGAGCTGGTGAGAGAACGGAGCGCTTTTACACTCGGGGCAGCGTCTGTTTACCGTGTTCACACTAGTCCTGCAGTGGTTCAGCATGAGCAGAGGCTGACCCGGGGACAGTACAGGACAGTATACGGTGTGTGATGTGTGACGGCGTGCACATCTGCAGTGTTGAGTCTGGGTTATAGTCAACAGGAGCTGCAGAATGTGCTTCATCACGCCGTTTATTCACTATTTATAAGATTTAATACACGTTTTTCCTCTTAGAATTGTTGAGTTTGTTTCTAAATATCTACATTTTAAAACAGATCCCAGATCATTCCGCTCACCCCGCTGGCAGATAATCCAGCTTGTTTTAAGGGAAAACACTTCATTTAGCTTCTTTTCATCTGATGTGTGAAACACTGCGTACGCTGAATCACACACACATTCTCTGTGTACATTTTAACGTGAAGCTGAGCGCACGAGTGCAAAACCCCTCCTAACTCCTCCCCCGTATGAATATGCTAATGACTCCACTTTGGCAAATGAAAAAGCAACGGCCCAATCCAGCTAGAGGTGAAACTCTGAACAGAATGTGAATTTGATGTGCCCCTATCAGAGGTAGACCGGAGAAAAACAATGTTATTAGCAAGTTTGTCCTCCAGAGTTAAATAGAAAAGAACAGAGTGAGAGTTCATAAAGATTAATAAAGAAACGGTCTGATGTAAAGGTGCAGGTGAGGAGGAGAACAGCGGCGCACCGTCAGAGTGTGGAGCGAGCAGGCGGAGGAGCAGGGGATGCTGGACTAACACCCTTACAGGAGAGAGCTGCCTCACTTCACTGTCTGCAGTAGTGTGTGTCTGTGGGACACAGATGTGTCAGAGGAGAAGTCTGTCAGGGCGGTATAGCAGCACCCCTCCGCTCTTATCAAGGCAGCAGCACCGTGACTTCAGCTGCCCAATCACCGCTCTACAGCTGACCGGGTGGAGAATGGCCGTCACTGTATCTGCGCTCGTGCTCAGTGTGTGGGTTGTTCAGGGGGGTTAACAGCCACGTCTTTAATGGATAACCGCATTCTCCTGATCTGCAGTAATAATTACACTCATTACAATACAATAAATAAACTAAGCTGGAATAACATCTTTAATCCCATCACACACCCGTCACCCTGGAGCCTCCTCGCTGTCTCTCTTTCCAAAATATGGACCCAACTCAGCACAGAGCTCCAAGAGGATCACTCATGGAAATCTGAAACTGCTGATAGGCCAGTCATCATCATCATCATCATCATCATCATCATGGGCCAGAAAATCACTGTGATCCCTAAGAAACGCATTCGCCCACTGACAATGTCCTCTAATAAGGCCAACACTGCCCGGCCATAGACTAAGAGTTGTGTACATTTGCAAATGCTTTTACATCTTCTAAATCACAGAATTGGGAAAATAAATAAATAAAAATAACAAATTAAAAGTATTGTCAATTACCACACTTGGTCAGTAATAAATGAGCAGCAGTGTTCTCCACGTGTGTTCATGCAATACTTTGTCGTGTGCAGTTTAACACGGTGGCCTCTAGGAGTCGCCACTGGAAATAAGACCAACACACACAAGAAACACACATACTTCATCCTTAGTAAATCCAAACCTGAGCGTGAGACCTGGCGTACGCAGCGTTGATGCATCAGACCCTGATCTGTCCAGTATTGTGCAGCCCTATTCTATCTTTCACCATTTAATCTTTTCACCAAGACAGAAGGGTCAGTTCACTCATGTCCATTATCATCATTTCTTCATCCTTCACTTGCTCCAGAGCGGTTAAATTAAACTCCAGAGTGATTAAATGTGCATACAGGAGGAAGTTTTCATGTGTGTGTGAGCTGTCCCTGTAATCAGATGAAGATAACATGCATTAAACAGTAAATGCGCATGTGTCAGCGTCTGAGAATGCACGCTGAGTCTCTGAGCTCCTGCAGGGCTGTGTGTTTGCATGTGTGATGGTTACAGCAGTGTTAGTGACCTGTGTTGTGTTTCTTCTGTCAGACGGAAGAGAAAGAGGAAGAGGAAGAAGAAGCTCTAGTGGGAGAGGTGAAGGCTTCACCCAACGCAGACACAACCATCCTGTTCGTCAAAGGAGAAGGTGGAGGACTGACTGCATGCTTATCCTCTCTGTTTGAGTCTCTGAATGCATCTGAGCGCTGCGGGAGTCGTGATGATACACACACACACACACACACACACACACACACACACACACACACGCACGCAAGTTTACTTAGAGCTGAATGAGATTGGAAAATCAGACATGACTTTAAAGCTGCTGTTAGGGAGGAGTTAATGAAATTAGATTGATTGGATGGTCCTATAGGGCAGTTAATAATGCAGAGAGTGCAGTGAACTAACCACAGCATGAACAAACACAGCAGAGACTGAAGTGTGCTTGAATGATGATGTGCGGTGTTCAGCGCTGTCAGACTGTATTCAGCTACAGAGTTATTAATAATCTGAAGTAGGGGTGTCAAAATTAATCGTTTCTTCGGTGCATCGCGATGCAGACGCGGACAATTCGGTATCGGTTCAGTAATAATCATAACCGGTTCTTACTGACGTCATTTACCTCATATGCGCTCTGTCGTGAGGGAGGCGATCGCGAGTATTTACAACGCTTCAACTACTTAAAACTCATAAACTGTGCACAATTTCACTGTGTGTGTTTGCTGGATCAGTCTTTCACTGACATATACAACAATAGCCCCTATTTCACTGAGATCCAGAGAATGAAAGTAGCCTTCTCCATTTCTCTCTCGCTCTGTCTCTCTCTCTCTCTCTCTCACACACACACACACACAGTGGCTCATTTGACCTGCTGGCGTGGCTTTTCTTCTCCTCTCGGCTGTTTTACAGCATTACGTTTGGATTCAGAAACGAGCGCGTGTCTGCAGAGTTTTCTCCACCGTGTCTATCATGCATCAGCTGTGAGATCGCCGCTGCCGCCTGCTGCGTATCAGTGTCACTTATCTGTGAAGAGCGCAGCGCGCAAGAGCCAATCGCAACCGTTTTTGTTGAGGGTGTGACCAATCAAAGGTGTGTAAGAGAACAAGACAAGGATCAGAAATTGAGCTGGATGTTTATATTTGTTTATATTATTTGCTTAATGCTCGTTTTGTTTAAAGTTACAGTTTGTATATCTGACTGTGTATTAAACGACAAAATTGTATTACAAATAGTATATAAATATATTCACTTATTTAATACAAGAACTGCTGCTGTGAAGAAAATATGAAACTGTATGGAAAGCATCGTCAATGCACCGAAATATCGAATTGAACCGAATCGATGGCATGATAATCGTAACTGAACCGTGAGACTAGTGTAGGTCCACAGCTCTAATCTGATGTGAAATCTCACTGCCCGAGTCTTTACTGCGCTCATAACTCAATATTCTTTATTAAAGTTACTAAGGCTCTGATCTTATTGGCCTAGATACTCTGACCTCCGTCAGGCCTTAAGAACATGCAAACAGTTCTGATGTGTTCTAGCTAGGGATGGGAAGATTAACCGATATGTATCGATACGCGGTCATGCGCGTGCACGATGCGAGTGCATCGGTAGAGCAGCAGAGGATGAATGAAATTTTGGAAGCAAATCGAGATGCATCGGTTTTTGCGAGATGCATCGGTTTTTCCGAGATACAGCTTATATTTTTAATATAGAATGTATTTTTTATTTATTAACAAGTGTTTTCAACCTGTTTTTGGCGCATAATTTAATCGACCTACATAAAGTAAGCCTTAGCAACGGATTTGCGGATGTGTACACTCACACTACAACTCAGTGTATCAGGTGTGCGGATGAAGCTAGTGGTGCGCCCTCAGAAAGCGCGAGAAGCAAAACAAACATTTTATTCCCCACTGAGTTTTAAATCTAAAGTATGGCAACATTATGGATTTAAGGATGGACGACATGACAGGACAGATGCAATTTGCAAAATGTGCCGCGCATCTATAAAATACGCGGGCAGTACGAGTAATCTGATATCTCACTTGAAGCGGCGCCACGGTGTTGTTGTGAAAGCATCTTCCAGTGTTCCTGCATCCCCGGCTTTCGCACTGCTTGAACTGTAGCTACCAGCTCCAAAAGTGGTGAGAAAAGCATTGCAAGTTTTTTTTTTCCATGCGCAAAAGTTTTGTGCGCTCTACGCCAATAACGGATGTTATTGCATTGTTCATCTGCAGGGCCGGAGCAAGCTGAACTGCTGCTCTAGGCAGAGGATGATCACGCCGCCCTCAACCCCAATGTAAAACGAAAGTGACCGGTTATGAAAATGAAGTGACGTGTCGCGGACCTCTATTCTTCCGCCCTATGCGCGGATATAACTGAGGACGCGCGGGTGTCGCGGACCTCTATTCTTCCGCCCTATGCGCGGATATAACTGAGGACGCGCGGGTGTCGCGGACCTCTATTCTTCCGCCCTATGCGCGGATATAACTAAGGACGCGCGGGTGTCGCGGACCTCTATTCTTCCGCCCTATGCGCGGATATAACTAAGGACGCGCGGGTGTCGCGGACCTCTATTCTTCCGCCCTATGCGCGGATATAACTGAGGACGCGCGGGTGTCGCGGACCTCTATTCTTCCGCCCTATGCGCGGATATAACTGAGGACGCGTGGGTGTCGCGGACCTCTATTCTTCCGCCCTATGCGCGGATATAACTGAGGACGCGCGGGTGTCGCGGACCTCTATTCTGCCACCCTATGCGCGGATATAACTGGGTGTTGCGGACGCCGCCCTCTCTATACTGCCGCACTAGGCGGTTTTAAACACCTCCTCCTGTTAATTTTTATTTAATTACAGTAATAATAATAATATTAATAATAATAATAATGATAAAAATAATTGGGTGTCACGGTGGCACAGTGGGTAGTTTGACCACCTCACAGCAAGAAGATTGCTGGTTTGTTATATTTTTATTAGCCTGTTGTTTACAGTGACAGTGATGTTTCAACGCAGCATAACACTGCTAGTTCACCACCTTAAGTTTTGAATAATCAGTGGCAAAATATATCTTTGTAAAACTTGTTTTCATAGTTGAAAAGTTAAATCACAATTCTTGTTGTGCAATGCTAAACCTTTATGTTGAAAGAGTGCAAATATATATTTTTTAATATATATTGCACTTATACATTCTGTTTATCTTGAAAATACTTAAATAATATGTGCTATATGTTCTAAAATGGCCCTCTACTGTAAACTGACACTCTGGCTCTGAGAGAAAAGCCAGTTTGTAAAAAAAAGTCTTGGTTTTGCTTGGTTAATAAATAATCAAACTCATTCAAATGTACAGCATCCTCTTTCACATCATCTCATAAACTTGATCTAATTAGTTAGTGCTGAAATATCGCATCATATCGTGATATGGGTGTGAATCGTATCGTGTTGCATCGCAATATGTCACAAATGTATCGCTAATATATCGGATCGTATTCTTTGTATCGAGATGCGTATCGGATCGGCATTATAGCTTAGATGCCCAACCCTAGTTCTAGCGTGTTTCTCCTGCCGCGCTGTGATCAGCACTGCAGCTCCTGTGATGGGTATATAGAGATATCAGTGCAGCCCTGGCTTTATTCTCAGGAGTGTGTGTGTGTGTGTGTGTGTGTGTGTGTGTGTCAGTGTGTGTGTCAGTGTGTGTGTGTGTGTGTGTGTGTGTGTGTGTGTGTGTGTGTGTGTGTGTGTGTCAGTGTATGTGTGTCCGTGTGTGTCTGTCAGTGTGTGTGTCCGTGTGTGTGTGTCTGTCAGTGTGTGTGTGTGTGTCTGTGTGTGTCAGTGTGTGTGTGTCTTCAGTCTGTTCCTCTCCTCCTGCTTCATCCTTCCTCTTTCCCGCCATCAGATTTTCCAGCTAACAACATCGTGAAGTTCCTGCTGGGCTTCAGCAATAAGGGCTCGGAGAACTTCGTGGTGGAGTCTCTGGACGCCTCGTTCCGTTACCCGCAGGACTTCCAGTTCTACATCCAGAACTTCACGGCGCTGCAGCTGGGCACACTGGTCCCTCCACAGCGCCAGGCCACCTTCGAGTACTCCTTCATCCCCGCTGAGCCCATGGGCGGACGACCCTTCGGCCTCGTCATCAACCTCAACTACAGGGACGACAGTGTGAGTGTGTGTGTGTGTGCGTGTGTGTGTGTGTGCACATGAGTGGTCTGATCCTAAAGGCTGCAGTGTAAATATGTCAGCATGTTCAGCTGTGCTCCACATCAGAGTGTATGCGTGACTGTCCTGTGCCGCTGGCTTAGCTTTACGCTGTGTTTATTAAAGTGATGGCGGTCTCTGCTCCTCAGGGAAACGTTTTCCAGGACGCCGTCTTCAACCAGACTGTCACCATCACAGAGAGAGAGGACGGCCTGGACGGAGAAACGTAAGAGTGTTCACACACACACACACACACACACACACACCTGTCAACACTGGGATGTGATAATAAGAGATCTGCCCATCATAACAGCATCAGTCAGTAATATGTTTAATTGTTGTTATTTACAAAATAAATATAAAGAATCTACATTAGCAGCAAATAAATGAGCAGGCAGTTCAGCTTATTATATTCAGGAGCTGTTGTAAAGGAACAGAGTGTAGTTCTCAGATCTCGCAGCTGTAATACTCACACAGTCTGACTGAAGAGCCGTCAATCAATCTCCTATTTGTATTTTTGTTTGATGACAGTAAATATCAGAGGTGTGACTGTACACATGCGCAGTCTAATGACGGCAGTCGACTGCTTTATTAACTCTTTATGCTTATTTAGGACAAAGTTATTTGTGTTTGAAAAACCCCACCAGCATCGACATGTTTAGAGGTTATTATTATTAATCATGTGTATAATTCTGTTCAGACACACAGACAAAACCCAGACTTACACTCAGCTTCAAATCTCGAGTGCAGAATCCGTTTGGAAACAGTGTGTGTTCATCACTATAGAGCAGGGGTGTCAAACTCAGTTCCTGGAGGGCCGCAGCTCTGCACAGTTCAGTTCCACCCCTGCTCCAAC